TGCCTTATAGCATACAACTATGAACGTCAATTTTCATTAAACATTTTTTATGGGATGAGAAAATATATCTTAACATCATGTCAATGCTGCATTACATGAAGTAAATTTTTTTATGCTTTCAAACTTGTAAAATGTAATGTGTTTACATTGTGTTAAAAATTTAAGGAATGTTTCTTTACATCATTTCATTTCTTTTTAATTGTTTCAACTAAATTGTGTTTTATAATTAAACTTATCATTTTGAAGTCAAAAGCCCATTCCTTTTTGAGAGTGTATATTTCTATTATATCAAAGTGTGTATGGATTTATCTTTATTTTACGGCGAGGGCAGGTGAACACATCTTACCTTTATGTCAGTGCTTTATTACGTGGTGTAAAAAGTGTATAACATAATGTGAACATATATATTTCAACACTTTATTACATTATGTCAAAACTCCATACCGTGATGTGGCGCCAACTCTTTCTTTAGCGCGATTTAAAAATATCTTTATATTGTGTTAACTCTTTATCACGTGGATTCCAAGTTCATTACCTGATGCAAAAATACATTTACATTATCTGTGTGTATATAATAAATGGTACACACCGTGATTGATTAGGACAAATTCACACATAAACTTCCCAGACATAACTTTACTATAGAAAATATAATGTTCATTGAAACTGTACAGCCCCCCACCCCCACTTCTTGTTGAAATAATAAGGGTAATATAATATAGAAGAAAAGGACGAAATAGGACTTGGACAACTTTTTTCGGATAAATGATTTTTTTTACTGGCTGACCTCCTCTTTCAAAAAAATGATGCTACGTCACTGGAGTTAGTATTTTTTTTTTAATCAATCCAGGGCCAGAATTCTATTACAAAAATCTACCAGTCGCTCATCTAAATCAATTGAATATGCCTTGGTAAGCATGCATGGGCACATATCAGTGGCAGATATGGGAATCTTGAACAAGGAAGGGGGACGGTATATGGTTTTCAGGCTTTATAGTTTTATAGAAAAAAGTTTTCAACTTTTTAAACTTAATGTGAAATAATGCAATGTCATACAAAGTTTAAGACTTTTATAAAAAAAAAAAAATCAGTAAAAAGAAAAAAATATTTCACATAATATTTGATTTATTTAATTAATAATCACCTTGAATTTGGTTTTATTTCAGTGTTAAGGCTTTGCATGTTTCAAACTGTCAATATTCTTAAAGTTTTCATTTACACAAGCCATTTTAGTGCTTGTGGAACGCAGAAAATACGTTATGCTCATATAAAGGCCGAGGATACCCGCGTTCGCATAACGTAATAGTGAATCGACATAATGTAGAAGAGTGCGCACAGTATGGCATGAGCTTTTCACATCAGTTAATAAAAACTAAGATTATCATGAAAAGTAAACATAACGAAATGCAAGTTGACGAAATAAAATTGTAGGATCATAAACAGTTGATATAATTAAAGGAAAGTTAACACAAAATCGTTAATGTTAAAGTGACATAATGTAATGGAAGGTTGGCACAATGCAATAAGTTTTATGTGACATAATGTATATTGCACAATGCTTTGTTAGCAAATTTGACACAACATATCTATTGACGGCGTTCCATATTCTATTGTCATTATATTGACTTTGATAGCAAATTTAACCTATCTTTGGACCGAATTTAGGCTGACTTGTTATATACAAACTGGTATCCATTTTTAATACTGAATTTGACAACGGAAATTTCCGTCTGCCTGATCAAAACATAGGGCTGACGGCGGGTGTGACTGGTCATCAGGGGTGCTTAAAATAACTCCTCCTAGGCACCTGAATCCACCTCTGGAATTTCCAGTGGTCAGTATTTGATTTATCATTAAATTAGTATTACATTCCTGTACAACAGAACTTTTATTTTCTTCAAAGTATCCCATTTAAATTCATTATATATATAATATCCATAGAGCGGTATGTTTTTTATCCTTCTTTGGGGTGCTAGTGTTAATGTCCGTTTTTCGGATATTTCTCCGAAGTTTCTTTTGATTTCATCGATAATTTTATTTGTAATTATATAAGGCATATATATCGTTTATCAGTAAATAAAGCGATGGTACATTTATGGTACTAAAGCCGTACTAAAATTCAAACCTTCGCTAAGCAAGATAGCGAAAAAACACATTTCTCGTTATCAAATCATAGTTTTTAATATTTCACCTGCATTTGTAGGAAATTTTGAAAATGACTAGGATACATGTATCAGTCGAAAAGTTATCACAAATTCATTTATTCAATAAAAAATGAATATTACAAATTCTGTATCCACAAAAATTTTCAATATTTACAATATTTTTTTTAACTAATTAACAATAATATATAATCTAAAGCTATTAAATACAAATGGAATATGTACAGAAATTGCTACAATCGCTGTGAAGCATGATATATTCCAGCGGTTAAACAACTCTCAAAACTTTATAATGCGTAGTTCACTAGTTTTAGAGAAAAAATGTTTAATTATCAATTAAAGTTAAAAATATTGGCATTAATACTCAATCAATTTCATTTAGATAAACATAGTTTTAAGGAGAAGGAGAGAGCGACAAGGAGAAAGAGAAGAAAAAGAGAAACACAAGGAGAGAGAGGGGAGAAAGAGAGAGGATGAGGAAGAGAGAGAGAGTCACAAGGAGAAAGGGGGGTGGAAAGAGAGAGGAGGAAGTAAAGAGTCACAAGGAGAGGGGGAGAAAAAGAGGGGAGGAAGATGAGAGAGTCATAAGGCGAGGGAGGGGAAGAAAGAAAGGAGGAGGAAGAAGAGGAAGAGAAAGTCACAAGGAGAGAAAGAGAGAGAGGGGCTGAAAAGAGAGAGGAGGAAGGAGAGAGTCGCAAGGAGAGAGAGGGGGAGAAAAAGAGAGGTGGAGGAAGAGAGAGTCATAAGAGAGAGGAGAAAAGAGAGAGGAGGAATAGAAAGTCACAAGGAGAGAGAGAGAGAGGGGGGAGAAATAGAAAGGAGGAGGAAGAGAGTCATAAGAGAGAGGTGAAAAGAGAGAGGAGGAAGAGGAGGAGGAGAAAGTAACAAGGAGAGAGAGAGGGAGAAAGAGAAAGGAGGAAGAGTCATATGAGAGAGGGAAGAGAAAAAGGAAGAAGAGAGAGTCTCAAGAGAGAAAGAGGAGAAAAAGAAGGAAGAGAAAGTAACAAGGAGAGAGGTGAGAAAGAGAGAAGGAGGAAGAGAGTCACAAGGAGAGAGAGAGAAAGAAAGGGCTGGAACTAAAGAGGAAGGAGGAGAGAGTCGCAAGGAGAGAGAGAGGAGAAAGAGAGAAGGAGGAAGAGAGATACACAAAGAGAGAGAGGGGGAATTTTCAAGATAGAGTGAACTTGCAAAAGAGAGAGAGAAGAGGAAGAGGGGAAGGGAAAGAATGAGAAAGACAACATTATAGAGCATTCGGACCACCTAGGGAGATTATATGTTTCCCAAGCATTTGAAGAAATTTGTCTTCTAAATCTTTGTCATAGTCCTCAGATTTACCTTTATGTATAAGTATTTGTATAAGTAAAGGATTACCTTAAAAGAACAGCACTTGAGCTCATGTGTATTAGGTATTAAGTGCACTGATACTCGTAATCTCCTTATGGTTTTTACGCATCCCAACTTATTTGCTACATTTGAACTTGCTCCGAGAACGATCAATGCTACTCACTTATAAGTGATATTACAGGAATTTCAACAAAATCGTTTAAAGTCGGTATTTCGAAAATTCTATTGTCGTTATATAGACTTTGATAGGAAATTTAACCTATCTTTGCACCGAATTGAGGCTGACTTGTTTTATACCAACAGGTATGCCTTTTTTTATACTGAATTTGACAACGGAAATTCCCGTCTGCCTGATCAAAACATAGTACTGACGGCGGGTGTGACTGGTCATCAGGGGTACTTAAAATAACTCCTCCTAGGCACCTGAATCCACCTCTGGAATTTCCAGTGGTCAGTATTTCATGTCCTTTTCACATATTTGTATTGTTTTATAGATTTTCTAGGATCGATTACTGGTCATTATCTTCACCTTTTATATTTCAACAATACACATATTCTGCTTCACTTTGTAAACCATATCATAATCTAAATATCAAAAAAGCAATGATGGAAGCAACAGTTTTGTAACACTAGTGGACTTGTTTGCTTCATTTCTGAATCTTACGGTGATAAAGAACGAGAAACATAAAGAATCGAATTTCTTCATGTGTGTATACTATGTTCAAAGAACATCGTCCAAAACAAAAATTACACAAGATATATAATAGAATTCCATCCCTATGACTAGAAACTAAACTGGATAATCATCCACAGAATACCAATTCACAATAAAATGATACTTGCACAACAGTTAAAGTGTGGGGTCCTGTTATCATCTTATTTATTGTGTGCAAGAATCCTTTGAATAAATTTTAAGAAATGAAAATAAAACATTGATCATTCTCAAGACATCTAGTGAAGAATACGCAGGAACAGGGCAAAATCATTGATCCCAAGAAACCCAAAAGGATGGTTTAGAAACTTGGAGGAGAAATAAAATGTAAATATAACATATAGTAACCAAACCCAAAAGTCCTACCGAACAATATATTGTATCTTATCGTATTATTGTATATTAAATTAGTATTACATTTCTGTACAACAGAACTTTTATTTTCTTCAAAGTATCCCATTTAAATTCATTATAATATAATATCCATAGAGCAGTATGTTTTTTATCCGTCTTTGCGGTGCTAGTGTTAATGTCCGTTTTTCGGATATGTTCTCCGAAGTTTCTTTTGACTTCATCGATCATTTTTATTTGTAATTATATAAGGCATATATATCGTTTATCAGTAAATAAAGCGATGGTACATTTATGGTACTAAAGCCATACTAAAATTCAAACCTTCGCTAAGCAAGATAGCGAAAAAAACACATTTCTCGTTATCAAATCATAGTTTTTAATATTTCACCTGCATTTGTAGGAAATTTTGAAAATGATCAGGATACATGTATCAGTCGAAAAGTTATCACCAATTCATTTATTCAATAAAAAATGAATATTACAAATTCTGTATCCACAAAAATTTTCAATATTTACAATATTTTTTTTAACTAATTAACAATAATATATAATCTAAAGCTATTAAATACAAATGGAATATGTACAGAAATTGCTACAATCGCTGTGAAGCATGATCTATTCCAGCGGTTAAACAACTTTCAAAACTTTATAATGCGTAGTTCACTAGTTTGAGAGAAAAAAATGTTTAATTATCAATTAAAGTTATAAATATTGGCATTAATACTCAATCAATTTCATTTAGATAAACATAGCTTTAATGTACTCTCTCTCTCTCTCAACCTCTCTCTCTCTCTCTCTCTGATGCATATTTTCTGAACAACCACAAGGCAAGTCGTTTTCTGAACGAAAACAATTATTTTGTATTATTAAAGAAGTCCCTACATAGATCTTTAATATTATGAATTAAACACGGTTAATAATCATCGGCGTCTTTATAATTAGGCTCGGTAGAAATGAAGTAGTCATCGAAAAATCCAGCAAGGTACTCAAATGTCGGTCTATTTGCGGCTTTTTTGTCCCAACACTTTAACATCATCTCGTACATAGACTCCGGGCAATGGGGAGGATTAGGCATTCTGTATCCACGGTCTACTTGCTCTAAAACTTCTTTGTTCATCATTCCTGTAATGAGTAAAGTGAAGACTTCCATACAGAGTTAATGTCCTTTTCAAAATATGTTGCCTTTTTGATATTTCAACTAAGAAGTTTTCAAATTTATAATACAATATATTCAAATGCATTCTTGTTTCTAGAATTACGCTTTCTAAGATGTATTTGGTTGCAGTTGGAACATTTTGTTGTGATTCAGATAATGTTTTACAATTTCATGACGTGTTGTTAATCTTTGCACTTAATGTGATTGATGTTTGAATTTTGAATGTTATCTTTCCAAATGTACAATTTAAAAAGTTAAACTAATATTTTTTAAATTGTGCAGACTACACATCTAAAACAAAACACATTTGACAAATTCTTCATCAATCCCTTGTCATCGTACGTATTTTTAAAATGAGTAGGTGTTCATGTGCACATGTAAGCTCTCCAACATAAAAAATATATATTTACACATGCACAAAAAAGAGACAATTAAATACAAAAGAAGTATTGTGTACATAAACGTGATTATGTGTTTCATAAGGTACGTGAATGTTAGAAAACAATCTTTTATTCATATTAAAGTAATACTTAACAACAGGCTTGGTCGGTTTAAGCCTCTCTGATTTAACTTTACATTTGTTTTACTGCTCTCTCTCTCTCTCTCTCTCTCTCTCTCTGTGTGTGTGTGTGTGTGTGTGTGTGTGTGTGTGTGTGTGTGTGTGTTTTATAAAAATTAACTTTCAATGGGAAAGTAATAAGACACTCTGAGATTTATGACAGTGATACCTGGGTATGGTGTTTGTCCTCGCGTGACGATTTCAACCAGAAGGATACCGTAGGACCAGACGTCAGATTTAATCGTGTATCGACCGTACAGAGCGGCTTCTGGTGCCGTCCATTTTATTGGGAATTTAGCACCTGCAAAAACAAGAAAATTGTTTGTCTTCTTCACTTAAGACAGGATACCGTTTGCAATACACGTTACAATTTCATGACGTGTTGTTAATCTTTGCACTTAATGTGATTGGTAATCTAAATTTAACACTGAAAGGACGCTTTTTTGTTTTCTTAGAATATATCTAATTGGAAAAGCAAACATATTTATACACCAAGCTAGTTTTATAACTTTTTTTATATACTTACTGGAAATTTGAAACAAAGCTTTTATGAAATAAATACATGTAGTATATAAAAACTCAAAATCCTATTAAATGACAGATCCTGCCAGAAACACTAAAACATCAGTGGTGCAGTAAGGTCAATAAAAGAGAAAGGAATCCCTATCAACCGGTCACAATGGTCGTAAGCCCTTTGTCCTTTGACAATTCAATACAAAAATAACCGACTAAATATAGATATTAAATACGTCAGACTACATTTGACCTAACGCAAGTTTTATTGTCAACAAGGTCATTGAATCGACAACATGATTCCAAGATTTAAAACCTAATGTTCTGATTGTTCACACAAGTACTCTGAAGTTGACATTAAAAAGATGCTTGTGTTTCTGATTGACAATATCTTTTTGGCTTTTGGAGACCAGGGGCCCATTTTACAAAAGGGCTTACGACTTAAGACCAAATCTAATTTTTCATATATTTTTTTAATTAACATTATATCGAAAATTATTTTTAATTTTTTAAAAGGAATGTGTTAAGATATTTTTACACAAACAATTTGAAAGAGAAATATTAATTTAGCTAAATTTTACAATGTTCTGAAGTTTTTGGTCTTAGTCGTAAGTTCTTTTGTAAAACGGGCCCCAGGTCTTAAATTCCAGCAATCTATTGGAATTCCCATGAATACCAATTGTACCCGTTATCAGCAGACCTATTTTTTTTATTCTTATGAAGCAGAGTTTATTAGAATTTTTTCCTAATTCTATAAGTGAAAAGAAAACACTTGCTGTGGCCTTTACCTCTACATTTAGGTATATCGACGATGTATTGTCAATAAGCAATGGTCATACCGGTTTCCATTCTTATGTCGATACGATATATCCCGGTGTGCTTGAGATAAAGATACCACAGAGTGCCTGTTTCAAAATTTGGATATTTTACTTGAAAAAAAAAACCGCCAATAGTAATCTAATAACTAAGCTTTATAATAAACGTGATGACTTTAATTTGTAAATCGTCAACTTCCCTTACTTACGCAGCTATATACCTTCATCACCTGCGTACGGGGTTTGTATCTGTCAGTTGATTCGATACGCAAGAACATGCTCCAAATATATACAATTCCTAAAACGAGGTAAATGACAGACAAACAAGTTAATGAAACAAGGATATCAGCAGTCTCGTTTAAAGTCATTATTTCGTAAAGTCTATGGTCGATACCATGGCCTTGTCAGCAAACACAATTTTTCATTGAGTCAAATGCTGACTGACGTTTCCAATACTAGTTGTTAGGCCATTATTTACATTATTTATCTCCAAATATTTCATCTATCTTATATCAACTATATATTTTTGTCAGTAACCCAAACTAGTGCTTATGCAGAACATGTTCTTGTGTAGAATCAACTGATAGACATATGCGCATGCAAATAATAATTCATTGCTGCATTATTATAAATAATATTTTAAGTAACAGTTTAGAAAATTATGTAGATGTTAAATATAGGGTTGGGATACGACAAGGGGAATTTTTATCACCAAGTATATTTTCAGTGTTCATTTATAATCTGGAAGATAATTTGTTTGAAAATGAATTGTAGGACTGTTTAGTGTTAAGTAAGGTATAGCAGAGAACTGCAGATGATCATAAAAATAATAAATGAATATTACGAATATTATGAAAATTGAAAATAATGTCGGAATGTATAAAAGAAACAAAATCAAAAGGGAGACAACCAAAAATAGATTTACATATAATGGTAACATGATGGAACTATGGAACTTTTCAAAAAAATATTATAAATTTGAGATTTTAATTTTTATAATAAAATTATTTGTCGGGTATAAATTAAAGTAGAAACAGTTAGTCAATGTGAAAATAAATCAATTCTAAATGCTGCATTTTATCTGAGAAAATATATATACATATATTTGGTACATGTACATGCTTCTTATGCATATATTTTTTTTTTACTAATTTCTTTTAAAATGCTGGAAAGTAAAAATCTTCTGGAGCAGAGGTTCTTTAAAATCTACATATGAATCAAGGTTCAAATGAACCTTATTCATTTGAACCTTATTCCCAAAGAAATTTTAAGTGAAACTGTGAGGTGACTGAAAATTTTAAATGTCCATCAAATATGATCTTTTCGAACTTTTTGTGTACGGTGTCACCGTACACAAAAATTCGTGAACACTATCTCATTATTGTCATTTATTTTCCAGATATAAAATGTTATTGTACACAGTAATTGTAAACTCTGGCAGGATTAAACACAAACCTGACTTAGGTGTGTATTCATCATCCTCAATCAATCTGGCCAAACCAAAATCTGCCACCTTTGCCAGGTTATTGTCGCCAACTAATACATTTCGTGCTGCCAAATCTCTGTGCAGGAAATGGTTTTCTTCCAGGTAGGCCATTCCACTGGCAACCTATATTTTATATAGAATAATACTCTTTGTAGTCATCTAGTGTATAAACGAAAAATAAAAAAGGTCCTAATATTATATTAGTTTTGTTAATTTCGTTTATGAAAAAAAAAATTCTTTCCTTCTGGTATTTATAATTAATCATTTATTTATTTTCAGTTTCCCGTTAAATACTTCAAGGTCATGCATTTTGCACCAAATAATCTTATTTACATTTGATTTCACGTTTGACAAGAAAGACATTCAATCAAAGGACTTTATTTCTTACAGATATATGAGGTTGACTTTGGAGTGAAGGTGCCTAATTTGTGAATTAAAGTAAAATTACAAATCTCTGCAAATGGTCCTTACATCAAATTGTATTGGAATATACATGTATAACCCTTGTTTTCACGAACTTCTACTTTTTATTCTCTTCATGCAGAAAGGATTCTTTAGAAAACAGCATGAACAAAAGTATGCTGCTTCAGAAGAAGACAGATTAAGAACTATACAATCTATCCTTAATTTCAGTATATTCTCCTTTATTTACGCACTTATATGTAAAAGTACAGGAGTTACCGCTGGTAAATTGCACAATTCTCTTCCCGGTGCACGTCATAGTACATTAGTAAAAGTTATCTTTATGAGGTGACTTTACCCTGTAGTAGGAAGTTAATATTTTTGTATGAAGATATTTACTACTAAGAAAGGCATTTTAAAAGTTGTACAACAATTCGAATCTATAAAAAGCTATATGATTACACTAAAACATTTCTTTTATTTGAAGAATGTTAATCCAATTATTTAAAGAGACAACTCTCATAACATCCTAGTCATATGATTCCTATGAGGAAAATATTGTCTCATAAGTATTTCAAATGTAATTATCTGAATGTAAATTAAGAAAAATGAAAACGGGTTTATTAATTTATCTCATAAAGGATAATACATATGTACTTTTTTGTTGCTCTGTACTTTTAATAATATTCTATTTTCTTACGTTATCTTTCATTATGGCAAATTGAATCCAGTTTCTAATTTAGTGATCCCTTGCTTCAGGTAACAAAATTAGATCCTAATTATCTATTTCAATTTGGAAGGAAAATCAATATTAAAAAAATCCCGAAGCAAAAATTTTGGTCTTATCAAGAAAAGGAGAGTGATGGACGTGTCTTTACTAAAAGAGCAAAATCTAACACTATTGAGATATTTTTAGCAATTAACTTACTTCCGACTGAGTAATATAAGTTTTATAAAATTAAAAGAACGAAGGTTGGCAAAATAAGTTATTTATTAAGGCTAAACTATTAACCTGTTTTACTCGGAATGTTTACCTTAGTTTATCATTTTAATTAATTTTGCACAATATAAAAAGCTCCCTTTGGATTGAAAATATTCGTACTGACATTTTTTGATTAATATGTTTATAATAGCCTTCCAATTCAATCTGATAAATCATTAAACCTTATGTGAAAAATTAAACAATTTCAGCCTTTCTGTAACATACTTGTGCGGCAATGTCCACTAGTTGTGTGAATTTTAATGAGTCTCCTTCATCACCACGCAAGTAATCAAGTAAGCTGCCTTTGGACATCAGCTCAGTAACGATGTAAATTGGTTCCTTATCAGTACACACGGCATAAAGTCGCACTAATTTGTCGTGTTTGCATTTTTTCATGATATTGGCTTCCAAAAGGAAGGCATCAATAGACATAGTGCCTGGCTTTAGGGTTTTCACCGCCACATCCGTCGTCTTATTCCATATTCCTGATTAATTCCCAAAGGATAAGAGACAAATTAAAAACAAAGTTTTCAATCAAATCTTTAAGTTCGAAGATGTCAACATAAAAACATATACGTACCTTTCCATACTTCCCCAAACTGACCAGCCCCTAACCTCTTAGACAGTTGTAGAGATTCGCGGTCAATTTCCCAGGCATCTTTGCTCAGATCTATGACTGGTTTTGACTTAGTGCAAGGTTTTACAAGTTTTTGTCCTAACCCATCAGCACTTTCTGTAAAACATCATTCAAATACCTTAAATTAATTTGTAATTATTATATTTTGATTGAACTCATAAAACATTTTGGATGGTGGGAGGGGGTTGGTTGGAATAGACATAATGTCAAGCTGAGAGAAGGAAGCAATTAAGAATTCATAAGATCAAGAATTACAAATTGCTGGTTTTAAATTCAATGAATATAAATAAATTTATTTTCATATTTTCAGAATTTAAGTAAAATTGGTACTATAATGTGCTTCATATATATACATGTCTTTCATTCTGTCAATGTACAATATTAGGAATTTTTGTCACATAACATATAGTTTGGCTATTTTAGAGTCTTTGGAGATATGCATCTTTCATTGAAGCAACTGTAAATTAAGTTATCAACGACGCTAAGTTTACTGGCTGAAAAAAAAATGAAGAGTGTGTTTTATCAACATACACAGGGAAGTTATTTTTTTCAAGAAATATGAGGGAAAGGAAGTACCAGAATAGTGTTTGATTAACTCCTGTAGATTCGGCAGTGTCCTCCGTGGAGTTATGAAGAACCCTTTATTGTCATCTAATGGTTTGATTTTGTAATGTTTAACCACATCACCCTTGCCTTCCTGAAAACTACGGACACATAAAACAAAATTTCCTGAAAAGAAATAATATTTCTACATCAAATGTAATTTCTAACAGGAAAAAGTAAAAACGTTTATTACGGAATATACTGTTGAATAAAAAGTCAAGTATTTGACCAACGTATTGAATCCAAGGTAGGCAAATTAATGCATTAATATCACAATTCCTTACAGACCTGGTGCAGTTTCGCTCTCTCGGATGAGATAAGACCCTAGTCCGTTTTCCGTACTCAGTAATATTCTTTCTGATTCCTTTCTGGAAATCTTTCCTATATACCATCTAAAATAAAATCAAAATAAAATTTTGTCTTCTATTCCAAAACCTGTTTTCCCTTATATCTAATACCCGGGTCTATATATATATTCCTGAAAAGTAATATAAAAAATCATTTCAAGAAAATATTTCAAGTTTTATTCCCTACCACTTTTCCAACATTGCAAACTGAGTTCTCATTTAAACAGGAATCAATGGGGCGAGCTATAAGGGTCATAATAAGGCAATAAATACATTTATCAAGACAAAAACAGTATGTCAATACAAGGTGGGATGAAGGCTACTTACTCGTAGGTTTCTAATGTGTCTTCTCTGGCAACATAATTAGACGGAACATATCCGTCATTTCTACCTGACCCACTCTGCGATCTTCGTGCATACCACCAGTCAGGATTACTGAAATGACGCAGAGCAGACGATAACTATATGACATGATGACAGCAATGAAGCTTCACGAGTCACTTAATTGAGTGTTAATGTTTGAAATTAATTGACATAGTTCGATTTTTAGTGTTCAGGGTAAAAGATTTTTCATTTTTCATCTTATAGCAATTTAATGTATATGGTTCTTATTTTGGTCAATTTTTAAAAATGAAATCGAAGGTTAACATTGAGTTCGTTGTTCTAGAGATTCAAAGACACAATTACCCGAAGAAATGATACGTGAAGAAATGATTTCCAAAGCAATTGGAATGATTTTAATCAACAAAAATTCAAATTTACCCCATCAGTATATCCATTATTATCAAGACATCAATATATTTCATACTATAAAAAGACATTAACATTGGACAGGAAAGGGTTGTTGTTTTTTTTTTTTGGTGTTGTTGAACACTACAAAAGCTTTTTTTATTCTTTGCTATAGTATCATGACAGCACGGCTATATGTTTATTAGCTGTTGAAGATGCTAAAAAAATATTAATGTTCAAAAAATGAGTATCAAAAAATACTTAAAGACTGGTACCTATGTTTTGTAAACATATTGTTTGTGCTGATGGAAATATCAAGGATTCTCTGTTGTTTCAGTTCAAATATAATTTGAAGGGATATCACTTCAAGTTGAAACAATATACGTCAGCAAAAAATGCACGATTATATAAGATGCTTATGTTCATGAGAATCGGGTTGCTCTTAAATCGTGAATAAACAAAAAATAGCTTTTGTACAGTCCTTTTTTTATTTCCCAGTTTTAATTAGACAGAAATTGGCGGTGTTAATTTTCATATTCCTTTAAATCAACAATTTTGTTTGCTTCCAAGTTTATTAGTTTGAGTATTAACAGATATTAGAAAAAAATGACCCATCTTTTATTGTACACGCACAGATATTCATACCACTTGGCAAATTTTACACATAGTTTTATAATTGTACTATAGAAACTATTTTTTTTTTATAGATATCTATTTTAGGTTTTTTTTTTTTTGGAGATCATATCTTCCACCAAAGTGTCGAGGTTTCAAGGTACACCAATTCAATATTAGCACGTCTAGTTGTATCCATGTGAAGCAAAAAAAAAACATGAAAAGAAAATATTTGCTAAGACCTTCAACTTAACTTGCAGATATATCAATTAACTATAGGTACCTCCATTTATAAACTGAGGAGATATAAAAGATATCACAGAGGTGGATACATCTGTTTAATATTCGGATATTCTATTAGAAAAGAAAGGGTAATCTAACAAACAAAACTAATGACTTCAAATTTTCTATATCGTCAAGATAATGAAAAATGAATAGCAATAGTCCCGTTTAAAATCATTATTTCGCAAGTTCTATGGACATTGTCAGCAAAAACAACCAATCACTTAGGAAACATTATACACAATAGTTGTTTTTTTTTTATTTTGAAAATAGTGACCAAATATTTTCAATCAGTAAATTATAAGTCTAGCCGCATAGATTAAATTTTTAGTCAAGGTTTCACATTAATATCCTAGATATTGATAAGAAAATGCATAAATAAATAAGGGTGAGGACAAAAAAGGTAGTATTTGTACATCTTAGGATTTGACAATCAAAATAGTTCAACAAATCTATATATATATATCCAGACATTCGTGTATTTTTGTTGTATCATCTGATCCAATCATTAAGTCGAATGCTGACTGACCTTTTTCATGCTAATTGCTAGGCCATTAAAACACATAAAACATTTTATGATGTTTATTTGTCTTCCTTTATGCTATTCTTTCGATTTGTATTGTTTCAATGGACATCGAACTTGATTACTATTTCTCATATCCATATAAAAGAAATTCCAATCTTGGTGTCCTCAAAAGACTTTAAATTCTTTCTTTGATATCTTAATGCATGCAATTAGACCGTGACAAACCTTACATAATAATTTGTCAAATTTGAAGCTTCTAGTTTTTGTTGTCGGTAATTTCATATATTTAGCGTTATATTTAGTAGAGACACTTGACTATCGATAAAACAGCTTAAATTTAAGAAATAATGTTAACTACACCACCAATTTTTACCTACCGACAGGTATTCTTGATATTTAAAAGCATTTTAGTCATATGTTAAAGAACTTTAGAAGTTTTTTATGGAAAATCCCTCGACATTTTCTATTAAGAAAATTACAAACGTTCTAATTTTTATGTTCATATGTTTAAATAAGACAAAGAATGGTTAATTAATACATTAAAAGACCTTAACAAATAGTTTACTATTCTTCAAAAGTCATCGAAAGCCGTTTTGATTAAACAGATTTAGTTTTAAAACAAATTACACCTATAAAGGTCATTTTGATAGTTTCATGTTTGCAAATCAAATATCAACTCTGAACCCCCACTACCCATACAATTTATTTTATCAAGCTGCAATACATACGAGGGGTGATCAAAAAGTTCGCGAACTATCTCTATATTTACAAAACCACAGTACAGATCAGAATGAAATTTGGCACATATAAAGTCATACACATGTTCCATAAATAGCATATGTTATGGAACGTTTTCCCCGTGTTTGTGACGTCACAATGTGAAAATGACGTCATTAGGTAGATCACTTGTGATAAAAAAATGGTTGACTCAGTCGTATTCGAGAAACTAACGGCTTTAAAGTTAAACGTATATCTTGGAGATTCCTTTGTAAAAGTTAATAATAATTTGCACACGGTATGCGGAGACAAAAGACTTGCCAGAAGTTTTGTCATTAATTGGATTGATTGTTTAAGTGAAGGAAGGGAGATGGTTAAAAATGATGTTTGTTCTGTTGCCAGTGAAAGCAAACGGGGAGAGAGACGTGTCTTTTGTTAAGTAATTTGATAAGAAAGATCGCCAACTTACAGTTAAAAAATAGATGAATATCTTTACAATAATATAATTATCAAATACCTAAAATATCGTTTACTTTAGACTTTAAACAAATCAGATATGATAAAGTGAAGGCACCCATACTTTATCCACATAAAATAAAAGACGCTAAAAAGACAGAGGACTTGGGTTTTGATGGTCACCATGCTCATTCTGCAAAAGGATATCATTATCCACCCATACTATTGCCGAGATTGGGCCATTTCTGACAAATGGACTGTTTTTGTTGGAAAAAATAACCTGCATGGTAAGAAATATAAGAGTCGGAAAAAAATTTAAGCTTCTGTGACAGAACGCTAAGGAGCATGTCACGTGACCGCCTATATCACGTGATCCTCGCATGGACAGAATGGTTGCAGATGCGCATTTATATCGGAGAGGACTACTTTGAAACATTTTCAACACTGAAACCCTATATTATTTCTCTTTTGGAAGTTATTCAATTAGTTCGCGAACTTTTTGATCACCCCTCGTATTACTTCGAAAACAAAGTAAAGTTGCAAATTTGATATTTTTACTATAAAGTGATAGGAAAAAATGAAAAGAGAGAAGATGCCATCTTCACTTCGTGCTTGATACCAACAAAGTGTCAAAAATTGATGAGAAATCTTTAAAAGATAATATTCAGGAAATTGTTGTTGTTTTTTTTTCTGAACCCATCAAAGGACCTTTTCAGATGCCCTCAGTTATTATCAATTCACATAATGAAAAACTGGCCAAATAAAAAAAACCAATGCTATTTCTGACGTTAATTGGGGGGTAAACCTTCTTACCTATCGTCCAATAAAATCAGTATGTCGCCTTTTTTGAAGGGTAAATCCTCCTCTGCTCTGGCTTCATAATCATATAAAGCTCTGAGTGTGCCCTTTTCTGTAGCTGCTAATCAGAAGAAATCAAATTAGATATTCTGTATCTGCTATAAAAATAAATAATTGTTTAATTCTAAGCGATATAATTAGAAACACGTGTTTCAATTTCAGATAGTGACAAAGATGGATATTGGTGCATGTCAACTTTATTTTAAAAATCAGATTTTATTGTTCCAAAAATGGTAATCGATGTATTTTTTACTAATTATATAAAGATACAGTTCCAATTAAACTTTTCAAAAAAAAAAATAGTTCTTGTCAGGAATAGAAAAAGGTCAATGAATGGCAATAATAATGCATCGACCGATCATAACAAGGAGTACACGGTGGATGTGACCGGTAGACAGGGGATGCTTACTCCTACATGACACCATATACCCCTTCTGATGATTTGGACGTCCCTGTTTATTCTGCTCCCAACTGATATACTTAGTTTGAGTACTGTTCTCTATCTCTATATTTAATCAATCTTCATCATAATATCAACATAGATGTTATAAGATGTTTCATAGTAATATTTCTGGTTTTCATCTAGTAGAGAGATATCGTGAATAATTCAAACTTTTAGTATCATCTTTATTTCATATTCTTATTCAAGCTCATAGGTTTCTAAATTCATCTGTTCAACAAACAAGGAGCGCTAACTCGAAATTAATCCGAAAAGGAAGTGGAATTTAGAGGTATTCCCGAGGACTGGATATTTAATCGTAATGACAACTTAAAAATACTTATAGACAGGAAAACTTCCCAGACCCCACGCTGACTGTCACTGAAGATATAGAACTCATCCCAAGCATTAAACATAAACAAATTAGAGGATGGCTGACACTTGAGAGCGGAAATTACATGTACAGTTTTTTTTTCTAACTTCTGAATGTACATTTTAATAAGGAAGGATATCCACTTGTAATAATTATAGAACCGTAGAGACATACATTTTTCATGGTCTTCTTAAATTAATTATCTTTAGTCCTTCTCTATCTCTCTTTATTTCAGGAGAGTTTATTATACTAATAATCATTATCATATTGCAGATTGAAACCAGTTATATCGTTCAAATTATGGAATAAGTAGTATGAAGAGAAAAATGCCTTAAAATGGACATAATGTCATTTATATGTATGCAATGTTCAATCAAATAAAATTTATCATGAATTTGAGAGCATTTTGAACAGAACATAATGTTTGGACCCGTCATTCTAACAAAATTCACCATACTTCGAAGATAATTCAAATGTTATAATTTACTTTCGTTTTTTCAAATGTTGTTTAACATCCATGGCTGCAATACTACACATGTATATATATTTGATCGATCAGGTATTTAAGTTTTTCTACACTATTCACTTCCTGGTCATTGTTGATCTAGGTCATACCTATCTAGTTAAACATGTCTGAATTTTTGGGGAAAACTACAATCCTAATGGAGACTGAAAATCAAACTCTTTTAAAGTTTTGTTCAATATTGAATGCTATTGTAAATTAACTCTCCTGTCATTTTTAATGAAAATCAATACTTTCAAGGGGATCAAGAAGATATTTATTTCTTATCATCTCCTTATCGTAAATCTCGTGGTGGATCCAGTTTTATCTGGTATGAAGGCAATAATTCAAATGATAATAAAGCAATAAGTTCAAGGAATTGTACCTTGTGGAGCCGGTTCTGGTTCTGGAGCAGCAGGGTTATCAACTCCATTCGTCTTCGCCTCCCCATCTCTCTCTATATCCGTGAAGTTTTCTGTCTTCTTTGGTTTGGATTGAAAACATCCCATGTCGACACTTTATAAATACAAACCTTTACTGAAGATCAAACTTTAAACATTTGTTCCGCATCGGTACGCTATAGTCATTTTGAAGTTAAATGCTTTGATTAACAATGTATAGATTTTACTTACTTGAGTTGTTTATTTACGATTGATAAGTAAAATCAGAAGTCACTTTTCATGAAGGTTAAGTCCGACACACAATCACTTGTACATTTTACTTCCGCGTTTGACTAAAATCAACCTTTTTTCTACTTAAATGATCGAGGCGTCATTCGATCAACTGGGTTTTAATACTGTTCTTTTGTGAAGGCTACATTATCTTTACATTTTAACTTCCGCAATAGGACTACACTGTATATTACATATATGAAGTGGTCCACACACTGTTACAAATGAAGGGTCACAATTAAGAGCTGATTTACTTGAAATAAATGGTTGCATAAAAATATACATACTGTTGTTCCTGGTTTAATTATAATCCCTTAACGTACCTAATCACACCCAAGATAGTTACTTCTTGAATGCAATCTTTCATATGTGACTTTAAAAAAAAAAAATAAATTACAGATAAAATTGAAATATGACTAAAGACAAATGAATGACAGTAGGTGAGTTAGTGGCATTAATGAAGCAGCAGTCTCTAATGAGACTAGCTCTACTGGTATATACTAATGATAAAGAAGTGCTTATCTTTGTATAGACTGCTTGTTTGTCAAGCGTACTGAATTTGGATTTAAACTGCAAAAGAATGAATAACAAGCATATCTCTTTTAGTAGTTACCATGGCTACATCGTTTTGCATTATATTGTTTATCACACTAGTATTATATCTTGTATCCTAGGGTAGTCACATTGGAATCGAACCAAAAGTAATCATATTTGGGTTTTGAAAATACCTCATAAAAATGCATATTTCTAACTTGTAACAGGGCAACATGTGTAAAATTCAAATATTAATATATATTGAGTATTCCACTGTATATTATTGATTAACATGGGACAAAATATTTAACAATGGAAATAAATGGCAGAGGGAAAGAGCTGGTAGGACTACGAATGAAACCCCATTTTTTTCACCTAATGTTGCTTTTACTGAGCAAGCCTTCTTTGATATGGGAATGTTAGTAATACCTACAAACTCTTTTCCTTAACTGAATTCCTCTTCCTTTTTAAAATTTTGTACCACACAATGCAAAGCAGATGGTGAATTACTGTGCTTCAGAAAAATTACCAAATCTTACAATCCCATACTAATACATAGCTTATCGAAGTTTTCGAAAGCTGCAATTTTGTACATCAAATGATATTATGCAGGAAGGATATTTTTAAAAAAATTGGAGGCTATCCCATAAAAATTATCATTCAAAAGTAGGGGCATGGTCATTAAAAAAATAGTTAATTTCATATGAAATTGTATTATATAAATTTAATACTCGTATATATTTTAGATAAATGTATGAGGGGTTATCAAAAAGTTCTTGGACTGAGGCTATAAAATTAATACTATGTAGTCTGTGCTTTCAAAATTTATAAGGAACATAAAACAACAAAAATTAAAGAAATGTTGAAAAATTTAGCTTGGTACGTCATTATTTGCCAAATTATTATAAAATAAAAACATTACATGATCACCTGGCGCCGTCGCCGTTTAGTTTTTTGACGTCTACAACGTCATTGTTTTTCAATATTCGCTTCTTCTTTATACACTTACTTTGATTAGATTCCCTGGACCCGAGTAAGGTCTTAAACCCGTTTTGTTTATATGACTTTACAATGTCAGGGACAGCGGCTTTCAAGCATATAATATTGAAAATGGACTCATTCATTAGGAGAGATACTCGCTTGATTTATCTTCAACACAAAATCAACGTCATGTTTGACGTTATTGGTTTTTCACACCTTGACTACAGATTGACTTTTACTGTGCATCCATTTTCTTTCTGAATCTCTTTTGACATTAAAAAACAAATACTCTAGATGCGCTTTATTTCTCCGTTGCCATTTTAAACATTTCCTAGGTGTATACCAGTTTTTTCAGGTGCAAAACTTTTAGAATGATGGAAAAGGAAACCCTCCCTCTTTTGACGCCATTTTCAAGGCCTTATTTGTTTGAGCAGTCCATGTAAAATTTGCGATAAATTTTAATAGAACTTTCAGAATGAGATATAAATTCCATATTTATCGAACAATAGTGTCCTGATACAGACCTGAATTAACGGGATTTTTGGATGTCAAATGTTCATATCCAAAGAGTTTTTTCTCAGTTACACTTAGGTCGAAAAAACGTCGTGTTCGAGGTGGCGCCACCTGGACAAAAACATTACTAATTTATTAAAAAATAAAATTTATGATTTGTGGTTTATTCTAAAGATAGAAAAGATGATGCTTACTAGATATTTTAATAATTCATTAATGTACCTAAAGCGGTTTAAATTTTATGGCGATTGCCCACGGACTTTTTGATACCCCCTCGTATCTTTAAAAAATTTTATATACAGTGTACTACCCGGTATGTCGAAGAGAGCTTATATTTTATCCCAATTTTTGGTTTCCATTCAACGATTCAAACCCCATGCAGTCTTAACATGTTTAGCAATTCATGTTAGTCTGCATACAGCTCAACGCACTTTTTAAACTCACATGGTTTTTCGCACATATTAAGGTCACATTTCTCTTGCAATAAAACTTACATTATGGAGCTTCAGTACGAGACATAACCCTTATATTATTATATATTTCGTGATAAAGGTGCATATTCTCTGAAATCATTATCTTGAATTTTATAACTCGATGTTTTTAAAGGGAATGTGTACAAATGTATAATGTTACATGTGTATGAATTTACCTTAGGTATTCACAAATGAATGAATCGAGCTTTCCTTGATAATATTCAGTTGAAATGTTCAAATTGACTTCTTACAGATGAGTATTTTACTAAATACTTTGCACATTTTCCATTCTTGTTTTGGTTTTGTCAAAATGCAACGCTGAAAAATGACAAAACTGCTAAAAGAAATCATGTCAAAGGATTGGATAATAAAGTATTGTTTATCTTTCAACATAGTTAATTGTTATTATTGAAAAGACAATTCTTCTCCATTTATGGTCTGATATTTTGAAATTTTTCGTTGGAAGGGACCTTTCATAATGCTAGATTTCAAGTTAATACGAAAAAATACCATCTTTTTAACATGGTAAGCAGTCGAACAGATGAAAAATACTTCTATCATCTTGCACCTTAGTGTCAAATTATTGTAAAGAAAATACTGAAGATACATGAACTGCACTGTTTCTGTATCTAGGCAAAGCAACGGTATGCTTTAAAATGAACAGATACAAAGACGGCAGCAATTGACGAGAAATCATGAAAAAATCATTTGGGAACTGTCATAATCTATCACCCAAGAGCATTTAAAAATCCTACCAATCTTTATGTGTGAATTATGTTTAAAGTAATGGAATACGATCAAACTGAAGTTATAAATTAGTTTTAAAATATATATTGTTGTCACGTTATACAATTTTGCATTATAACAATGTGACCCTAATTTGTGCGAAAAACCATGCGAGTTTAAAAAGTGCGTTGAGCTGTACACATTCCAAAACGTCGCCAACGTGGCACAATACCGTAAATCTGGAAATTTTTACGTCGATTAAAATTTTGCGAATCTCAACGCCAAAATGCTGATTCTCTCTCTAATTTTTACGTTTCTAATAAGTTTTGTTATTATGACCACTACTTTGATTACAATTTCTTACTGTTGAATTTTTTTAAGAGCGTCTGTTTTAGAGTTGCGGAGTAAGGAGAGCTCTATCTTTACTTCGCGGTTCGATTCCACAGCGGGACATGGGGACCGGTCCTTCGAGCCAAACGGTAAAAACAGGATACAAGATATTAAAAACATAAATTTGCAACCCTGAATATTCCGCCGACAAGTTTTTTTCCAAGGTCTGAAAAAAGGTATGAATGAAAAATTCAACATCAAAGTATATAAAACAATACAAAAAAAACCCCGCCACGATTATTACATAATTCTCTCTCTCCCTATCTATCTATCTATCTTTCTAATGTTTATTAGTTTTATTGTGGCAAATGTGCTCATACTTCTTTTCATAAATAACAAAAAAACATCACACATCTTAATATACTGTAATATCCACTTAATTACATAGGCGTCAGAAGCAAATTGAAAGTGGGGTGGCTAATTGAAAGGAGGGGGGGCTAAACCAACAAAAAAGGTAAACCCCAATTTTTCAATGTCTATATTATGTCTATCTTTGAAAAAAAAAGTGAGGGGTTAAGCCCCCCCCCCCCCGGTTCCCACACCTACTATGAATTATAAACATGATAGCATGATAGGGTTGGACAAATGAGTCTACAAGAAGACATTGCTAACTCCTGAATGTTAGAATGAGAGGTTTCTTTTTTAAGTTTTGAAGCAATTAATTATTCAAAACTACATTTAATAAACAATGAAAATATTCTTTTATAATACAACGATTTTAACTTTATTTGTACAATTTGTTGATGTTATTTAACAGGTCTGGACTATTTCCAAATATGGAAGTCAAGAACGATTACTGAAAATTGCTATAAATAAAAATCATGTATATGTAATTATCTTTTCGTCAATCAGACATCAGCATTTTTACACACTCCAAAACATATTTTAAAAGAACAAAAAATAACACGTGCTTTTGTTTTTTTTTTTCCTAAAAAAGATTTTTTTAACAAAAAATCTTTACAAGATAAAAAACTTTTGAAGAATAAGGTATTCCCCACATATTTACCGTGAACAACTTGACATTTTTATCTCGGAAAATAAAAACAAATGCATGATACAATGCAATCGTTTACGGAAGAATAAATCACACTAGCAAGTTCTTATCAAGCTCAATTATCACATTTACCAGAAAATACTATATACGTTGGTAAATATTTTTAAAAGATGCTGTTTAATTTTTCATTTATGCTTAATATCCATGTGTAAGAGCCACCTCACACAATTGTTTATTGTATGGACTACATATAGTTTTAAAATATGGCAAGTTTGGTTGAAATTGGCCCTGTGGTTTCTGAGAAGAAGATTTTTAAATGTGAAAAGTGTTAGCCGTAAAACGTGCCAAGAAACAAGAACAATTATAAATGATTGCAAATTTTATCCCAATATCTGTGAGCCTTCTCATGACCAGAAACTGAATGACGATTTTGAAAACGTTCAAAAATAATACACTTATTCTAATTCATGACAAAACAATACAATGTTCAAACAAATTTGGGGTGTCTTTTAGAATGATGCAACAGTTTATAAATAAAATCCGTTGTCACCCTGCCACAAAACGAGTATTCATTTGGTTCTAAATTATAGGATACTAAGCTTTCCACGTGGTTCACAGAATTGTCATAAGTATTATATTATTCATAAATGTGCATACAGTTTACAAAAAGTTTGTTTTAGAAAAATCTTTTGAGCAACAAACTTTAAAACCAGGTGTTTTAATTATTTTATTATTTTTTGTTTAAATGCATTTTATTATAAAAATTTCAGAAAGGCAACCTTGTTTATTCTGTGTATTTATAGCAATATGCGGTTATCGCTCTTGGCTTCCTTATCTGGAAATCATCCAGACCTGTTTAACAATAGATGTACAAGAACGACATACATGTATATGTGATCCACAATTTAAAAATGAAAATGCATGGTTTTAAAACATTAAGTGCATTTCAAGTTCTTATTATGACAAAACAATACAATTTTAACAGTGTTCCGTAATTTTTTCAAATACACATGTCAGAATCATCGTTACCACACCTTTTGTGCTTAAACATTCTAGTTGACCCAATATAAATGCCAAGAAAAAATAATATCTGAAGGTTTTAATATTAAATCAAGCAGAATCGTATTAATAAACAAATGCAACAGTATAGCCACATCGCTCTTGCTATCAGTGAGTTATGGAACCTACCCGGGGTATTATTCTTATCCCTAAACCATATTTGATTTAAACCATCACATTTTGCAAAAGAACAGATGTATCAGTCACCCAGTAATTCATTTCTGAACGTTTCTAAAGAAATTATTTACTTTATTAGGTTTTCGAGTAAGTAATGTCCCTCATCAGAATCAATATCTTTCGGTAATTTATTTTCATTGTCTTTCAAAGACTGGTCAGCTCCATTCTGCAACAAAAATTCACTTATTTCAAAGTAACCTTCTCTAGCTGCTATATGCAATGGCGTGGCATTCTTTTTCATCCCATATTTCTCATTCACAGTTGCCCCATTTTCAACTAGAACTTCAACCAATTGTAAATTGCCCCTTTTCACTGCATGATAAAGTGGAGTGACTTTTTCGTGATCTGTCAAGTTTACTTCGGCTTTATGTATTATTAGAAGTTCTGCAATGTCTGTGAACCCGTTAATAGTTGCTATATGCAATGGCGTAGCATTCTTTTTTTTCCTCTCATAGTTTTCATTCACGTTTGCTCCATTTTCAATTAGAACTTTAACCACACTAATGAAGCCTTTTTCGACTGATTGATAGAGAGGGGTGAATTTTTTATTGTCCGTCAAATTCACCTCTGCTTTTTGTTCTATCAGAAGTTCTACAATATCTAAATACCCTTTTTCTGTTGCTTTATACAATGCTGATCTACCCATCTTATCCTGTTGATTAATTCTTACTAGATTTCTGGCTTGCAAAACACATTTGACAAAAGTTTTATCTCCCGAAAAAACTGCATAATGAAGAAGTGAATTTCCCATTTTATCCACGAAATTTACATCTAATCCATTTTTTACCAGTTCTGGTAAAATATTTCTAAATTTTTGTCCACGATCAAATAATGAGTATATCGGAGATCTACACTGAGAATCCCAAAGGTCTGGTTTGGCACCTTCTTCAAGTAATGCCAGAGTTGACTTGTAATAATCTAGGTCATCTTTGTTTTCATCCACCCTTGCTTTCAATGAAAGTGCACTTTCTCGCTCAAATGCATAATAAATAGGTGACTTGCCATCTATATCCTTTTCGTTAATATCTAGTCCTCTTGGTATCAATTTCTTCATCAAAGACAATGCCCCCTCACCTTGATATGCCAAAATATGCAATAACGTTCTTTGTTTTTCATCTTTCATTTTGAGATTCGCACCTCCATCTACCAAGGCATGACAAACTTCGTATTTTTGAAAGCACAGTGACCTGTATAAGAGCGATGTGTCAGTTGTATCTGATGAAAAGAACACTTCTGCCCCTTGATCTATTAAATACTGCACTATTGAAGGAGTATTTGCATAACAAGCAGCTGCCAAGGGTGTGAATTCTCGGTGTGGGTTATACTTTTCCTCGACGCTCTTAGATACACAAGAGCGATTGATATTGTCTTTGCTGCTGATATTTGTGAACACAGTTTCAACCATATCTTGATCACGACTAAAACAAGCCAAAACAAGAAGAAGACTTTGTTCTTCATTGTCTCCGAACATTTCAGAGACATTTTCGTTGTTTTCAGTAACCCTAGAAATTAAATATCGCAGAAGAAATGTTCGTGCATTTGCAACAATCCAGCGCAAAGGTCTGATGTCGTAAGAATAATCATATTCATTATTGTAGACTTTATACCATAATAATTCATTTCGATACCACTCAGCAGTACCAGATTCTAAGCGAGTAGATTTTGGGAAATCCTGAGAATTTTCTGTACTTTCAAGACAATCTTTTGTTACCAAGAATGTTCTGCAAATATCGATATATTCTTTCACATCAAGTAAAGCTAAAAGTTTTTGTTGAAAAAATTGGGATTCCCAGCAGCTGTGTGTGAAAATACTAAGATGTAACTGATTGATATCCTTATATACTCTTTCTGCAAGCAGTGAAATATCTTTTTCATGAATGTCACGTTGAAGTACAATACAAGGATGGTTAGAATTTATAGCATCATCTATCTTTAAGAATTGTAGTAAGAAGCTAGTACTCATGTACTCTATAATAGGATCGGGACATTTTTTTCCAAAATGTATGGCAAGACTCTCCAACATGTAATCATGAATAAATACAAAATTGGATTCTGATATTTTTATATAAGTTCCAGTGGCAATCACAAGTTTTCTTTGAATGCCTTTCATAGACCATCCTTTGCCCAAATACTTTTTAAGTACTTCCATCCCTATTAAGCATAATTCATTTGTATTATTTTCCCTTGTGAGAAGTTGGCCTTTGTTAAGCATACACAGGACTAATGCAAAATACATATGGAGATCCTGATTCATCATATTTTCAAATTCTACTTGAAGACAGTCAAATGGTTTTGTAAAAAACTCGATAATATTTTGATCCTTGCGCTTTGCATAAAGTCTACAAAGAAGCGGAAACATTGTGTTGGGAAGCAAACTAATTGGTGAATAATCCACTAAACCACAGTGTTTCTTGAATATGTTTTCTTTGCTGTCTTCTGTAAATTTATTTTTGCCCATTTCAATATCCAAGACAAAAGATTCAATTTTAGGCATGCTTTCTTTTGCCTCCTCATAAATTATTCTTCTGCATGTCATCAAAAGTTTTTTAGTTGTCTGTTTCACAAACAACTTTTCATTGTTGTAAAGGACAAAGAGAGATGAAAGTTGCCTTTTGCTTAAAGCATGAATGCCGATTGGATCATCAAAAATATATATTTGTAGGTCCTTTGATTGTTTGTTAGCATTATAAATATTTTCAAGTTCTTCAAATGACGATATCACAAATATTTTCCAACTTTTCAATTCCTTACCAGTTTCCTCTCGTCTTTGGTTATGCCATTTTAGGGCAATATGACGAACAAGAGAAGTTTTACCGATTCCAGGTCCTCCAACAACCATGATTATGTTATTCTTCAATAGACGCTCTTCCAGTTCTTCAACAGCGGTGATTCCGTCGTAAAATAACTTGTCATCCGACTGCCACTCTTTTAGAAAATCTAGAGCAACAGAATTAGTTATGTTTATTTTTTTTTACACCACTTCGACTACTGTATAATTTATTCACTACATAAAAATGACTTACTGGTTGCTTTGATTTGTCCTACCCAAATTATAAATATTTCATAAATAATTACTAAGGAAACTTCTTTAAAATTGAAAAAATAAAACACATATTAAGAAGTTTACAAGGCTTTAATAACTAAGCAATATATACAAATTTATTTAGTAACTTAAAAGAATTGACTAACGCAAGTTTTGGAATAGCAATTCTCAACTTACACTAAATATAAAGTTAAACATATTAGATAATCATAGATAAAAGAGCTCAATGGATGGTATGTTTCATGTACCTTTAGACCTTGTAGTCTGACCCAGTTTTGCAGAATTTTACCCAATTTTAACATGGTCATAACATTTGACGTTTGGTGCTAGGGCTTTCATACTTCACATATGTAATCCTTCTGCATACTAGTAACTTTGACCCTTTGGCCTTGACGTAGGAGTTTGATCTACTTTTAAAAAATCTTTAATTGTGGCCATTACTTTTAGACAGTTACGGCTAGGGCTTTATTACTTCACATATGGAATCCTTGTGACAAGACCTTCTTTTAGATACCAACAACTTTGAACCTTTGACAAAGGCTTATACATTTCACAAGTGTGTTTCTTGTTAGAAGACTTCCTTTGGTTACCAACATATTTTATTTGCATTTGCATTTGAAAAAGGTTAACCTTCGCTATAAGTTGCAATACTGGGGCATTGATCAGTTTCACAAACACATCTTGTGTTAAAATTATAATTTTAATGTTTTTAAGCAAAAAGCTGATTGAAACTTATAATAAGCAAGAAAAATGGTGCCAGATATTGCTTTAATTTACATGTATGCATAGGGCTAAAAACAGAACTATCATGACAAAGTCCTAGACATATCTATGGAAACATGATGGATTTTAATTTAGTATTAACTTATTTTAAAATTAAACAATCAAGAAAATAGAAAAGAAATGTGCATGTTAGATAAAACATACTTTTCATTTTGACAAATTATTTTAGGGGAATTAATCAGACAACATAAACCATACTTCCTATTACTATCTAAAAATGATTTATGTTACCACTAGCATTCAAAAAGATAAACCGTTCATGGTAGCTCAGTCGGTAGAGCGCTCACTCCGTGATCGGGAGGTCGTGAGTTTGTATCTCGGCCGTGACTGACCTAGTCGTTAAAGTAGGTAGCAACTGTTCCTTCGCCATGCTTTCGACACTTTGAAGTTAAAGTTGCGGGTCGATCCTTCGGATGAGACTTTAAAAACTGAGGCCCGGTAGTCGTTGGCACGATAAACATCCCTCACTGCTCAAAAGCCCTGAGTGCCGAGTAAAGATCAAAATTTGAAGCCCTTCACTGGCATACGGTGACGTCTCCATATGAGTGAAAAATTCTCGAGAGGGACGTCAAACAATATACAATCAATCAATCAAACAGATAATATCACTCACCACTTTCAATATTACTTTCAATAAAGCTTTCTTCACCTACAAATAAAAACATATGGTTTTAATGTTTTTAGCATAAAGTGATTGTAATTAAGCAAATAAATTGGTGCTAAATATTGTGTCTAGTATGTGGGGTGGGGGTAAAATCACTGAAGTATTCTGACAAAGTTCTAAAACAGATCTATGATAAAAGATTTATTTTTTTTAATATTAATTTAGTAAACTTTAAAATTAAATAATCAAGATACAACAAGCTAATTTAGAGAATTTGTGTCCCCCACTTAGGGAAAAAAGAAGAACATGTGCATTTCGGAGGAGAGATGGGGTTGGATCCCCCCTGAATTTGTAGAATTATTAAATGAATACATGTATACTGAAGCAAATAAAAAATGCCAATATGGATATAAAGATTTGATTGCTTATTCTTTATTATGTGTATAGAAGATTCTTTTTACATAGAATATTTATCACACTGTAATGATGATTTTATGAGTTTGTACAAGCCTGACATCATATTAAGTTTTCATTTCACATGCTGAATATTATCATTTAGTAAAAAAAAAAAAAGTACTTAAAAAATGGACCGTCCAGGATTCAAACCTGGAACCTCTAACATGTTAAGCGAGAGTCATACCCCTATACCATGGAGATTCTTTGTTTCGTAAATTATATGCAAACATAAGGTCATATACATGTATGTATTCATGTTCGATATTGTCCAAATTTTACACAATACAATTATACATGGTGTCTAATTTAGCTTAAACAGTTCTAATAGATGTAATAAGAATAAAAAGTCCGCCGACAACCTGTATTATACGCAATAACTCTTCACATGCCCCTATGCTAAAAATAGTGCAAGGCGACATTTTTAGACAAAAATTACTAATAATACAAACGGGGCGGAACACTTTGAGAGGGGTGAGAGAGGCCCTAGGGACTTTTGGTATAAAATTTCATTGCAAAAGCTCAAAATCTTCTTGAAATATCCCTCGGAAACAAAAGTTTGACACACAGATGGAATGTATAAATATACGACCTTGTAATTTGACATTTTGACCTCAAAATCAATAGAAGTCTTTCTTAGGCCAAGAGAGATATCACGTGAAAACAAAAGAATTTAGGCCATAGAGAGTTGCTATGCAAAATTTCATTGTGAAAGCTCAAAGGGTTCTTGAGATATCGCGCGGAAACGAAAGCGTTACAGACAGAAATAAGGACGTACAGATCGACCCAAATAAATATCCCCCACTTTCAGTGAAAGTGGAGGACAAAAAATAGAAATGTCAGATATGCTGTATTTATCATTTTGATAAATTATTTTATTATATACCCATCATTTTCCTTGTTTTTGTTACTGTAAATTTTACAGAGTTTGATCCGATTTTCCGGATCACCACACTGTGGTTTTCTGAATCCATATCACTACTCTCTGAAACTGATGACGAAGTACGCAGAAACGTGACGTTATTTTTCTTGCGCGTTAAAAAGTCCCTTGTACATGTATTATGCTTTGTTTTATGGATAAATATTATACAATTGATCTCTAAAGTTTTATTCTGCTGTATTTAGCTAGTTATAAGGGGGTATATAATAAATTTATCATTATAACAGTAACTTGATCCGAAGAGCCGTATCACGTCTCGTTGACAGGTGCGGATCATCAGATCAAACTCGACGCGATCTGCGCCTGTCAACTCGACGTGATACAACCCTTCGGATCAAGTTATTGTTATAATAATATATATTTAAGGGGAATTAATCAGACAATAATCATACTTCCTATAACTTCTAAAGTTGCTTTATGTCACCACTAGCATTCAAACTTAAACACCACTTACCACTTTCAATATTATTTTCTTCTGTTTGTTCAGCTACAAGTAATTAAATAAATATATTATATATTAGTGTTTTAAGGTAAAAGGTGGTTGTAACTAAATTTAGGCAAAGTGTGTGTTTACAATCACAAGAGACTAAATCATAGAGAAAAGGATTTTAGTGCTCTGAAAATATCTCCATTGTTAACTTCACATCAAAAAAGTGCAAACTGTTGACAGTTGAATGGCGTATATTTATGGCCACTCATCAGAAAAAAAATGTAAATATAATAAAAGAAAATAAATTTTTGAAGATTCATGAGGTACATGAACTACAATGCTTCACGCCGGCATATTTATCATGACACAGTTTTCTTCATGGAAAGTGTGAAGCGTCGTAGTTCATAACCTCATGAATCTTCAAAAATTAAATTCATTTCCTAAATAACTATACTTCCTATAACTTCTAAAGTTGCTTTTTGTTAACACTAAGATTCGAATCTAAAATATCACTTACCACTTTCATTATTACATTCTTCGGTTTGTTCACCTACAAGTAATATTTAAAAATGTATAATTTTAGTGTTCTCTAAGGTAGGATTCTTTTCTGGTTTCTGACTAGATGGAATATTCAAAGTACATTAGTTGATATGTCTTATATATTTAGGTATAAGAGATTTAAAAGACAATATTTTTTTTTCTTCATCACAATTATACAACTTTAATTAGAAATGGCAAAACTGCATTTGAAAACAAGCAGGAACAATATTTTGTCTTCTTTTTCTGCCTCTGAAAATTATTATAGAACATTGAATTTAGTTATAATTTTACGCAATCAAAGACTAGACAAAATTTTCAAATGTAAGTTAAATTAATAATAAGGGACTAAAGTTTCAAAATATATCAAATAAATAAGATTTTTCACACATACTAGAACTATGTTGGCTTTTAAATGCTTCAGTACAGATATGAGCCAAAAATCCGTAAAAAGTGTTATTTTTCTCTTAGTAAACGATCAAAACTTTTAGTTTTTGTATCATTTTGTACTTTATGTGACAACTTTACTATATGGGAAAATTGGAAAAAGTTAAATATAGGAAGCATATAAAATTAACTAATAAATCCTAAAAAATTAAGAGAAGTAGAGGAAATTTGGATTAGCAAATATCCATTTTATTTAAATTATCCATGTCAATTTGGTCATATCATCTTATAGGCCATGTATGGTAGTATCTTTTTATGCAAAAAGAAATTTCATAAACATTCAATCTTTTGAATTACAAGTAAGGATCGCATGATTGGAAACAGTAATTTTTTTTTCTTAATGTCCAGGAAAAAGGTAATGACCTTAACCTGACCTTGCTTCTAATATTAAACTGTCAAATTTAATCTCATTAATACCATCACTTAGTGATACTGTCCTCTTGATTCTGTGAAAATTTCATTAATTTTTAAATACAAGAAATATGAGAAGAATCCTACCTTAAGCAATCAGTGATTGTAACAAACATTATTCAAACAAAATGGTTTCCGACATTTTTTTAATGTGTGTGAAAGGGGAGGAGGAGGCTAAAACACAGAAATATCCTGACAATGTCCTACAACATACTAGTATCTATGTATGGGAACATGATTGATTTTTATGCTCCCCTTTGAAGAAGGGAGGGCATATTGCTTTGCTGCTGTCTGTCAGTCGGTCTGTCGGTCCACTTAGTTTCTGTTCATTTTCTTTACAACCGTTGCACATATGGAAATGAAATTTGGTATACAGATATATCAGAATAATATCTAGGTCAATTTGTGTTTTGGGTACAATCGCGCCATTTTTCACAGAGTTATGCCCCTTGGACATAGAAAAATTCCAATTATTTGCAGTTTACATTCATTTTCTTAGCAGAGGTTGCTCATACTGAATTAAATGAAATTTAGTATACAGATTTATCAGATAAATATCTAGGTCAAGTTATGTTTTGGGTACGACCTCACCATTTTTGACAAAGTTATGCCCTTTTGGACTTAGAAAAATTCCAATTTGGGGGGAGGGGGCATAAGTGTTTTACAAACATCTCTTGTCAATTTAGTATTGACTTACTTAATATTAAGCAATCAAGATATTAAAAGAAGTATACGCTCTTCTGGTCTCTGACCAGCAGAGTAAAAAATGTTGCAATGTCTTCCTTTAAAATAAAGTATAAACATATCATTAATTACCTCTGGTTAAGTTTTCCATTTCTTCATTTTGGATTTCAACATTTCTGATACCACGAAATGTACTCCATTTTTTAACTGAAAATATAAAACATGAACTCTTTCATTAACATGTTTTATCATAGACTTTATTAACTCGAAATAATATTTTATAATAATTTACAGCATTAAAAAATTCTTTCAAATTGAACAATTTGTACTCACGTATTCTATGTCTATTGCACCAACAGATCAAAGCACAGCAGACAGCAATTAAAACAAAAACCACCGGTAATGCGATCTTGTATGCATCATTTCCACTAGCTGCTGTTGTTTCCGTGTTTGGATTTGCAAATGTAGTGATAGTAGAAAACAAACTCTCCCTGGAAAAACTTGGATCCACCGTTTGTTCCTCTGGAGGACATGATGGATCAAACTTATAGCAGTGGTGTTGCGGATTTATCTGGGAACACGCTGGGTCTATAAATAATTACACATACGATTTCAACGTCATTTTTTTCTATATGGTAAAAAGTAATTAATTTGATATTAGCAGTACTTAATTATTGTGTCTGTTGAATTTCAATCTTTCAAAAGACATACTAACCATAAACTTATAACTTGCAAATTAATTCAGTGTGGAGGAAAATTTGAACAGAAAAACAGTTGGACTCCTTTATTAGCCTATGAAGCAAAAATCATTCAGAAACTTATAAGAAGAAAACAACTGTTGTCGCCTTCAACTCAACATTTATATCGACGACGTATTCTCAGTTAACTATTTATTCAGTTACTCCCATTCATATGTCGTCAATTGGATATGAAATAAAAGACACTATAGAGTCCGCCAAATCTGTTTCATATTTGGATGTTTTACGGATTACAGACAATAAGGGTTAACTAACAACTAAATTGTATAATAATCAAGATGATTTCAGGTTTTCCATCATCAACTTTCCTTATTCATGTAGCAATATTCTGCTGCCACTACAGTGACTGCACTATGTGTTTGCATCTCAAAAAACACACAAAAACAAGCTTCGAGCATGATCAAGTTCTAAACCGAGCAGCCTTTTGAAAGATAAGTTGATGAACTTGATGTTACAGGGATTTCAACAACCTCGTTTCAGTCAGCAGTTTGTAAATTCTATGGTCATTATAATGACCTTAATTGTTAGCAAATATAACCTATAATTGGTCGTATTTAAGCTTTGTTTTTCTACTGAATCCAAATATGGAATGTTACATCTACCTGACCAATACATTTATAGGGCTCATGACGCATAGGATCGATCAACAGGGGATGTTTACGCCTCCAAGGCACCTGATCCTGCCACTTGAATTACAGAGGGTTCGTTTTTTTGCCCTATTCACAGATTTGTACTGCTTGGAGATTTTTTAAGACAGACAATTGTCTGTTTTCTTCTCACCTTTTTAATGGGATAATAATCGGATATAGGCCCAAAGAGTTTGATTCTATAACTCAATTTACAAACAAAAATAACTAGAACTGTCCAATAGGGACAAATACCCCCGCGGGTTTTTCAGAGTAGGTGCAAATATACAAATATTTATGGATCTATTAAGAGGTGTTCACTATTTTCTTAGAAACAATTTGAGTGAAAATATAATTGCTCATTATATATTTTTAATCTATACCAAAATGCTTTTAGAATTAATCTATACCAAATTGATTTTAGAAATAGGAGACTGGCCATCAAATGACAAATGCTATTTAAACTGACCAGCACTTCTGTCTAATTCCCAAAGGACACAGATAAGAGCCCATTGATCAGAGATATGGTCTAACAGAAATGACTGAGACAGCTAGCTTCCCTACATAAAACTAATTAATTAATCTTTGACTGGATGCATGTCCACTAATTACTATCAAGGGATGAATGGATCTTAAATTTCACCTTTGTAGTGCAATCAAAATGCATAATTACATGTGTCATTCTGAAATTATATCTGAAAACAGATTTTTTATAAATCTGTTACCAAGATTTAGACTGAAAAAAAAATTGTGTTATCTTGATGCATCATTTTGAATAAGGTTCCTGCATAATTTTTAGATTTGTAGGGACTAATCTACCAATTTTTTTTTAAACTTGATTTATTTGGATTTCATATCAGAGTAAAAGTTTCAATCTGAAATTCATATGGAGAATGGGCATGCTGATTCCAATCCCCCCCCCCCCACACATACACACACAATATAGTTTTAATTATAATATACAAAATCAATTAAGTTTATTATACAATTTCATAGTTTATTATAGTATATCAAATTAGTTTGAAGTTGCTTTTTCTCAATTCATTAAATAAGTTAGGCTAGTCACTAAATCTATTTAAGGCTGATTCCTTAGCCCAGTTCCCAAGACACAGATAACAACTGTTTGATCAGAGAGAAGTTCTACCAGTTAGCTCCTTATACTAAACTAATTAATTTCTCTCTTATTTGACATGCAATTTTCTGTTATCAAAATTCTCCTTGACGAGTGCTTGATAATTATACCCTTGGGAGAGGTAGATTTTCTCTTGTAAAATAACATTTGTTATGGATTTCTGTAAAGTATATAATAAAAAAAAATTATTTTCTTAATTTAACATGTTTTAAATAGGGATACTGCAACAGTCTTACATTTTCTGTGATTGTGTAATTCAATAGTAAAAGATAATAGTTTTTTTTTTTATTTCACTCTAAATAAATACCTCGGTGACCTTGAAATAGGTCATGACACACCTTCTACCCAAGATGCATAAATTGGCCAAGCTTGATGATTGTAAGTCTAATAGTTTTCTAGTTATGAGCCAAACAAAACAACAAAAGAAAAAAGAAAAAATGCCTGTAAAATGCAGAAAAATCATCCAATCATGATGAAAATTCCAGTTACATACCTTCATATAGTGAATAATAAGTGTACAAATTTTCAGACAAATCCATCCAATAGTTTCTGAGAAAAGATGCAGACAAAATCTTGTCTACAGACAGACAGACGGACATGGTGATTCCAATATACCCCCTAAACTTCGTTTGTGGGGGTATAATAATTTTCTGGACTCAGTTATTACTGGGGTACAAACTCATGTGTTCCGGGCGGGGGATAGTAAAGAGCTGCAATAAAGAGGAAACATTTGTTGTACAGCAAACATTCCTTAGGGGATTCCGTCCAAAGATCAAGACTTGTCGTTTTGTTTTAGTTTTTGGTTTTTTTTTTTCAAATTATACCCAGGGAGAAATCTAGCTGCTGTACATTAAATTTATGTGTGGGAATTTAATTATGAAAGGGGTCGACTTGCTATAGCAAATACCGGTATTAAAAAATTTGCCTTATTGAAAAAATATTCAGGGAAAGTTTTGCTCTATAACAGATCTCTGAAATAGGGAACCTTGCTATAGAAAACATCTGTATTAGTTTTCTTCTATGCATATATATCTACAAAAAACTAGTGACCCGAGATATACATGTATTGTAAACCGTAAAATATTTCAAACTTTGAAGGCTTTGCAATATGAATACCTTGTCTTTCCTTACTTACACTTGTACATATCGTCACTGTAGTACTTTTTATTAGGACAACTGTTATTGGTAAAAACTGAACAATTTGTGTCCTGGTTTTTGGACATGTATCCATTCTTAAATAAAACAATGCAAAAACCTGGAAATATAAAAAGGAATTTTAAAAATTAACATTTTTTATTTATTAAAAAAAATCTGTAACTGATTATATTAAATACCTGTCGTTTTCTAAAAAAAAAAATGGTATAATGTCCAAACAATTTTCTGATAATGGTTTCTTCAGTCTTCATTGTCATAAATATACATGTAGAACATCTTAAATTATCAAAATCAATACACAATTTTGAGAAGCTTACACGGCCTACTTCGTCGTCATAAGTCGGTTGGTGCAAAATTTTCTTCTTTAAATTCTCATTGACTTTACTTATCTGATTGATACTTTTGTGTGCAACTATTAGTTAGGTTAATAATACCGTAATTACATTACCTGGTAGCATAGGAAAGCGCACTCGAGGATAACAAAACTCCAGTAGCCTCCCTTTGCCTCTTTCTGGCATGCAGTGATACCTATATTTCTGAGTATCGTCTGTTGTACAGTTCAGTCTGTCTGAGGCTAGACTCCACTGACTCGCATTCTCTGGACATTTAATGACCGGATGTACGTCATAATTGTATGATGTCATGATATTTGGAACTGGATTGCCCTAAATAAACAATGTTAATTATATACATATGTATTAAGGTTGACATTGAATGCGGTTTTTTTTTTCTTCCTGCAATTATAAAAATCCAGACTTTCAATTATAAAGTTCTATAGTTACTTCGAACTAGCACTTGCAGATGATGTTTTTAATCTGCAATTATAAAATCGCGCCACATTAGGAAAAAACTTGGTTATCCCTCTTGAATTTTTACAAGATTGTATAACTAAAAAATAATTCTAATATTCTCTGACGCTCATTTAAAAAAAAAATCAATAATTAAGTGATTAATTAAGCATCAAAATAATTTACCATCCATGCTGGAACATTCTGACATATAATCAGAAATATTAAAGGAAACATTTTAAATAAATTAACATTTCCCTTTCTCCCTGTTCCTTAATTAGTGTTCCAATTTGTTTCCATGTTGATCACTGAAAAATACGTAATAAAAACCCAATGATTTCGAAAAGTTGCTGAAAATACTAAATCTCTAAATTTAAAGAAAATCTAAAAAGAAAACACCAATTATAAGCTTGCATTACTGCTTCAAGAAAATCAATAAAAACAGTTTGAAATTTTAAATATTTGATTTAGACATCTACCTATAGCTTTCTATATAAGAAATATTTCAATGAAATATGTGTGTAGTGATGAAATTCCAATATCATTAAATGCTCCAATTTTTATGGGTATATACTCTGAGTTGCGTTTGGAATGAAATTTTAAGAATTATATATTTACATTTCCAATAAATTTCCCAATGATTCTTTACAAAATAAAATGCAGTATATTTTCTCATGAACTACATTAGGTATGTATCACAAATAAGCATGAATATCTCCATTGTTACATCATAATACAGCTCTTGACATCAAAAATATAAGGCACACAGTTTTGTTTTAAAATTGACAGTTGAACGGCGTAAATTTATGGCAAGTCATCAGACAAATAATGTAAATATAAGAAATAAATTTAATTTTTTGAAGATGCATGAGGTATATGAACTACAACGCTTCGCGCCGGCATTTTTATCATGAATAGCTACCGCGCTTCATAAAATATGCCGACGTGAAGCGTCGTAGTTCATAACCTCATGAATCTTCAAAAATTAAATTCATTTCTTAAATATATTGTTGGCATTTTTATGATTCCTTAAATAAAAGAGGGGTGATTGATGTTAAAACTTTTTTCAATGAATTAAATTCAAATGTTTGAAACAAAATCATAATTAATTTTTGAATGTTTTATTAATCCTCTATACATACACACTGAAAAGTTGTGGTCGGAGCAACTGGCATTTGTAGGCAATTAGAATGGTCTGTCCTTCCCATACCGAAAAAAGTTATAACTTTAATAGTTATAACTTTTGTAACTAAAAAAAGTTACAAAAAAGTTATAACTAAGTTATCGGAGTTTGGAATGGCATGTTTTAAGTGAGGTATAATTTAGTTATAACTTAGTTACAAAAAAGTTATAACTTTTGCATAACTTTTCACCTTTTATTCAACATAAATACAGCAAGTACATAAAAGTTATAAAAAAGTTATAACTACAAAAAGTTATACTTATTAAAAGTTACACAAAAAGTTATAAAATAGTTACAAAGTTATACTTTAGTTATACCCAAATAAACAGTGGAAAAGTTACAAAAAAGTTATACCCAAAAAAAGTTATGAAAAAGTTACAAAAAAGTTATACACGGAAAAAGTTATACCCAGGAAAAGTTATAACTAAAAAAAGTTATACCTATTATAAAGTTATGAAAAAGTTACAAAAAAGTTATACCCATTAAAAATTTATAACTAAAAAAAGTTATACCTATTATAAAGTTATGAAAAAGTTACAAAAAAGTTATACCCCAAGAAAGTTATGAAAAAGTTATAGAAAAGTTATACCTAAAAAAAGTTATAACTGCAAAAAGTTATAACTATAAAAAGTTATACCTATTAATAAAAACTTTCGTAAAAGTTCCAGTGAAATTATACACTGTACGTTAACCCGTTGTGGATTTACTCAGTTATAAGCTTTTAAAAAGCTACTCATTAAAATTTAAAAAAAAAAAAGATTTTTGAAATTTATACAAAAAAGATTATTTAAAACATATTAAAGGCAATAACAATTTTACCTAACAAACACGATAAAGATAGCTTGGTTTATTGTCAAATACAACTAAATGAATGCACATGCAATTGTTTTCAAAATTCAAGTGTACCTTATTTTTCATCATGTCATCTACAACAGATTGAAATTTCTCTGGTTGTTTTAAAGAATACATTTTTAGCATATAGCAATTAGGGTCTTTGTAAAATTACCTAGCAAACTGCATTCTACTCTTGCTAATTGTATAAACAGACATCACTAATTTTTAAACATTAACACCCTATTTATTTTTGATCTAGCTGTATTTCAAAAAAAAGAAAGGTTCTAAACAGTGATTTCAGTTACAGTTTCTAGCTGCATACCACCCTCCTTGCACAGGTATCCTTGCAGGTGTACAGTTGTTTATCTTTATTATTTGAAGATAGGCTGCACTGAAAGTTGGCTGAGTTAGCTGACAGACTTAGCCATCGTTTGACAGGCCGCACTGGTAGTAGACCAAGTTAGCTGACAGACTTAGCCATTGTTTGACAGGCCGCACTGGTAGTAGACCAAGTTAGTTGAAGGACTTGGCCATCGTTTGACAGGCCGCACTGGTAGTAGACCAAGTTAGCTGACAGACTTAGCCATCGTTTGACAGGCCACACTGGTAGTAAGCCAAGTTAGTTGAAGGACTTGGCCATCGTTTGACAGGCCGCAGTGGTAGTTGGTCAAGATAGTTGACGGACTTGGCCATCCCTTGACAGGTCGCATCTGTAGTTGGTCAAGTTAGTTGATGGACTTAACCGTCCCTTGACAAGCCGCACTGGTAGAAGGCCAAGTTAGTCAACGGTCTTAACCGTCCCTATATTGACAGGCCGTACTGGTAGTAAGCCGAGCTAGTTGACGAACTTGGCCATCTCTTGACATGCAGCACTGGTAGTAGGTTAAGTTAGTTGACGGACTTGACCATCCCTTGAAAAGCCGCTCTGGTAGTAAGCCAATCTAGTTGATGGACTTGGTTGTTCAATGACAGGCCGCACTGGTAATAGGCCAAGTTAGTTGAAGGACTTGACAGGCTGCACTGGTAGTCAGCCGAGCTAGTTGATGGACTTGGTCATCCCTTGACAGGCCGCACTGGGTCAGCCGAGCTGGCCGAGGGACTTGGCTGGTGGTCTGCGTCCCTCATTTTAGCTGGTCAGACGACTTGGCTGGCGGGCAGTGTGACTGGTAGTCGGCTAAGTTTTCGTTGAAATATGCTTGCAATTTTAACCTTTTCTTCAATTCTGCAAAAAATTGTAAAGGTTCAAAATTTAGATTATAGATATTTAGATAGTATATTTCCAGCACTCATTTGCATATCAAATTGAAAACACTCTTCCATATCAATTAATTCAAATTCATTAATTCATCCAAAACATGGAAAATACAAGACTAATTTAAGATCTATACTTACAGGAATCAGTTTTAGATGTAAAGATTTATTGAATTTTGAAATGAAAAAAAAATTTACTTTACCTTAAACAAGTAATATTTTGAAGAATTTCATGTACTCCAGGTCAGGACAGATTCAGCTCATGGAAACATCATGTACCAATATTCTGCTTTATAAAAAAAAAGAAAATTAATGTTAAATTACTCATTTCATTGCATTAATTAACGTTGCAGCTAGATCATGTTATGATCATGCTGATGCGTATAAGGCTTCACAATATTTTAACAGTTCAGGGAATCTATAAACAATTGTGGGAATAAATATGACAAAGAACAACATATTTGATTAGTATACTAAATGCTGAAAAATATTATGCGTTTCAAATACTTTCAATTTGTTTACTTCAGTCTTTGTCATTCGACATACCAATCAAAACAAACAAGAAATCTAAGATTCACACGCCTAGAATTTTGTTCATTCCCAATATTTCTTCTTTTTGGAATGTTATTCCAGAGGTACTAAGTATACTTTACCAAAATCAATAAAATGTTAGCATAAATATCGCCTTACCAACTGGTTTTATCTCCTTTTTTTCTATCAACACTTTCAACATCCAAACATTCAAATCGTCCATGGAAAAATCCGCGCTCTGTTACTGACCAATCATAGAACTCAAAAACGTCACGTGATCGAAAAAAATAAATAAATAATTCATAATTAATTTATTTTAAATGCAAATAAACCTAATTGTGTAATTTTAAACTTAAATTAAAAATATAAATACCAGTTGGTGTTAAAATTTTGAATTTATCTTAGTATCAACAAAACGGACATCGGAGGCCGCCATATTTTTTGTTGCCGCCATTTTGAATTTAATATTTGTTTATTTGTGAAAATAACTATTATAACTGGGTTATTTAATTATGCAAACAATAAAATCTACATGTACTAGTCATCTGCTTAAATCTTAATATAACTGGCAGTCTTTATTCACAACATCGTAATATCTGTTCAACATGAACATGCACATACTCTATGCTGTTGTTTATCTTTTTAGCCACCCATATTACGACTGATTTTCTTCAGATTTCAAACAACCTGTGTAGAATTGTACCATTCAGAGATTGTGTAATACCCAAGCTGAAATATTTACGATGTGTTGGCCACAAAGGTCACCTAGTACAAACACCTGTCTCACAGAAAACAATAGGGAAATTTACACAGTTTTGCACACGAAGAATCCGTGCAAAATTCACATGACTTCATGAGATTACATTTCATACTGTTTATATCTCTTGCAGTACATTTATATTTCCCCAGAATTATGAAATATATTCATTCCCAACTTCAGATGTAAGTGCATTATTATAATTTACAAGACAAATATTATGTCTCATCAGGGTCTCAATAAATACGTATTTTCTAAGAGAGAGAGAGAGAGAGAGAAGGAGAGAGAAAGAGAGAGAGAAATTAATTATTCTCAACTTTAGTTGAAACTTACATGACAAATATCAATTTAAATAGACAATAATATTTATTACACACACATGACATGTACTGTGTACACACCCTCAAACACCACAGAGAGAGAGAGAGAGTTTCTCATTTATAGATGTAATTCACAAGATTTTATTTCACATCCCTTCTGTTGAACTTGACATGGCTGTGAACAGCGTATTTATTATGAATGAGAAGTCGATCACTGGTAGTAAACAATATTATTGTTCAGGAATTGACAAAGTTTTCTGCTGCAGTGTTTGAAAAAAAAAACCATTTTGAACATGATCAAAATTCATTCAAATTAACACTTAGTTATAATGTTATTTTTGAAAAAAAAAAAAAAGTCGGTGTCAAGTAGTATCCATTAAATAACCCCCAAAACTTGTAAATTTATACTGGTAATGCTTGAAAATGGCTAAGTTCAGAAAAGTTATGTTTTAGTTATACATGAAAATGACAAAGTCCAGAAAAGTTATGTTTTAGTTATACATGAAAATGGCTAAGTCCAAAAAGTTACATTTTAGTTATACATGAAAATGACAAAGTCCAGAAAAGTTATGTTTTATTTACACGTGAAAATGGCTAAGTCCAAAAAGTTACATTTTAGTTATACATGAAAATGACAAAGTCCAAAAAAGTTACGTTTTAGTTATAACTTTTTTGTACCTCACAGGCTAGGTATAACTAAGTTATACTTTAGTTATAACTTAGTTATAACTTTTTTCGGTATGGGTTAATTGTTTTAAATTTACTGTCGATTACTCAATCTGAAATATAGTTTGCATTCTTGACATTAATTTTATTAGTTAAAGATAAATAGATTAAAATTTTAATTTAAATGTAATCTTTCCTTTTTCTAGAGGGGGATGGTTAAACTTCTGATACCCCATAGTGGAAAGAAGAGAATTCAAGAAAAGGCATGCATATGTTTACATATGATATAATTTTGGAAATCTACAAAACACATTTTAGTCACAGGCACCTGACATTACTTATTTTTCTTTTAATAAAAAAAATTATACCCCCTACCTAGTAGGCGGTATTTTTTTTATTAAAAGAAAAAAATAAGTAACTTCAGGTGCCTGTGATTTTAGTCAATGTACAGACCATCCTTATGACAGGATTGTTCTATCAGAAAATATACAAAAATAACGCATGATAAACATCCGAAGTAGTAAATAAATTTTAAGCATATTATGCATGTTTCTTTATAAATTGCATTTCCAAGTTTATTTTTAATTAACTGTCTTTTCCACGTACTGCATCGATCCATTTACTCTCTCTCAAAATAGAACTATACATTTCTCTGAGAAAAATAATATGAAATGTTCTGAACTTAAAACCTGGCTGATATAATTTGATAAGTTGTAAATTTAATGATATAAACATTAGTTTATTGTAATGCAACAGTAACACATCATTTCATGAAAAAAATTACTTTATATAATATATGGAGATAACAAAATATTCAAGCTCAAAAGTCCTTAAACAAAATAAGAGCAGAGCAAACATGGACCTCCAAAAATCAGAGGTGGGATCAGGTGCCATAGAGGAGTGAGCATCCCCTGACGACCGGTCACACCTAGCTGCAATAATGTACCCCTCTCTGATTTTTTTTTTTCCCAGAAAACATCAGATAAAAAAAATCAGAGAGGGCTACATTATTGCAGCTAGTCACACCCGCCATATGCTCCTTGTCAAGATCGAGAAATAACAGGAAAAGCTGTCGATAATTTGACAGAGTGTAAATAATGGCCCAACAGAATTATGAAAAACTTCATTTAACTCAATGATAAATTGTATTTGATAACAAGGTCATTGTATAAACTAATTAGAACTTACGAAAGGACTTCAAACAAGACTGCAGTTATTCTTGTTTCATCAACTTGATTGTCTATATTTTAACTTGTTTTAGAAATTGTATATATATACGTAGAGCATCTGCTCTAGCTTGCGTATCAAATAAACAGATATATTTCTAAGCAGGTGATGGAGTAGTTAGAATGATCTAACTGTGTCTCGGTACAGGCCCTCACCACAGTTAGAAAACATCCCATATTTTTGCAATGTAGCAAATCGGAGCGGATCCGCTCTGAAACAATTTTGAAGAATATAAAAGGATTTGCACTGGAAATAACTACCAAATTAATCAAAACAAACCTTTTTGAGATTGCTTATGCCTTTTACCCCAGAAAATAATCCATCTAAAGACGAAAATCCAATTAATTTTCTCAACGTTTTTCTCTCGCTTCAAATTTACCTGCCATGTTTACATTCGGAACTCTCTAGATTGTTCGTAGTAAAGGCACTGAGTTATAAGGAGTACGAGTTATCGCCCATGTTTCTTTTGCTACATTATGAATACACGGAACGAATTCTATCGTTAAACCGGGTCCGTAGGACAATATCATTTAACGATAGAACGTTCTATCTAGTGATGGAGGTATATATATATAGCTGAATAAGTAGTGAAGTTGACAATTGAAAAGTTAAAGTCATCACGTTTATCAATCTTAAAGCTTGGTTATTAGATTACCATTAACGTCTTTTTCAAGTATTAAAATATCCAAATGAAACAGATGTGTCAGACTCTGTGGCATGTTACAACGCACTTTGAAAAATTATGCACTTTGAAAAAATTTTTCAAAGTGCGTTAAAATTTGGGACCAAGCTAACGCACTTTGAAAAAATAATTTTTTTTTCAAAGTGCGTTAATATCGACCATATCAACGCACTTTGAAAAAAAATGTAAAGATTGATCAATATTCCTCCAAATAATCGGTACGATAAATAACAAATCCTGGTTTGATAACTTTTTTATGATAAAGTCACTGTAGGACCTGAGATATTGACGTTTTAAATATTTAAGGTTTATGATAAAATAAAAGGGAAAATTAAAGGGTCTTGAAAAAAAGAGTGACCATTGTTTAAGTTCATTAATTCGTTTCTTCTTATTTTTTTAAATTCTAGTCTTTGATAAGTAGATGTAAAGGTGTATAGGGGGCACTAACAGAGGACAGCTTCAAGCAACTTAGCGTTTATCATAATAAAAAGGGGCCAATTTGATTGTTCAAAACTATGAAAAAAATTCTTTCTCTCTCATACGTTGTACTGTACTTAAAAATTTCTAGTTTTCATCTGTTTTAATTAACTCATTTATTATTGAAAGTTTTCAACGTCATACCAGTTAGGTAAATACATAATTATATGAATGCTTTGAGTATAGCATAGACATCGAGACTGGGCGAAGGGCCAGGGGAGGGGATGGGGGGCTAAGCCCCCCACTTACTTTGGAAAGATATATACATCGTATAAGCATTGAAAATGCGGCGTACCCTTTTTAGGTTTATTGCTCCCCTCCCCCGTTTGTTATACCGACACCTGTGTATTGGAAAGATAAAGATTTGGACTGAGGGATATCATACCCATCTTCTCCTCTTTTCGAAGGGAGTAAATCAATTCATTTTTGAAGTTAGGGTTAGGCTTAGTTTTTTGAAAGATAAATAACAAATAAAATCTTTCCATGACTAAAATATGATTTTTTTTTTAAAGTGCGTTAAGTGTCTCCATGGTAAAATATATTGATGTAGACTCTTAACGCACTTTGAAAATTTTTTTCAAAGTGCGTTGAGTTGGTCCCAAATTTAATGCACTTTGAAAAATTATTTCAAAGTGCGTTGATTTTGTCCCAATTTTAACGCACTTTGAAAAATTTTTTCAAAGTGCGTAATTTTTCAAAGTGCGTTGTCACAGTGGTATCTTTTATCTCAAGCTCACTATTATATCGACATATAAGAATGGAAATTACAATTGTTAATTGACAATACATTGTCGATAAATGTGGAGTTGAAGTCAACAACAAGTGATTTAATATTCTTTTCACGTGCAAGATTTTGGACAAATTCTAGCTGTTTCAAGTGAAAACAAAAATCATGACCTTGTCACCTCCAAATCTTTCTAACGTTAAACACGTTATAATATTCTTTTTTTGTTTGTTAGTATGAAATATATTTTTTCTTTAAATGTATATGTAAGTTGCTGTGAAAAACAGTTTCTATACTTACATGTGTAATGCCTAATGGTGATTTTTCTACTTTCGATTTGTTTTAAATAGGCTATTTTTTTCAACTGAAACACTAGACCTAATGTTCTGTTTACTTCGTACCGCATATCTGGTATTATTCTACAACATTTGCGATTTTATAGTTTCAACAACTTCTGATGATACCTTAAAATACTAGATTACATCTTATTGAACATATCATTGAATAGCAGGTTCAGCCGTTGATTAGCATGATCATTGATTCCGTTTGCGCGCGCACTTACCATTCTCAAGAAGACTGTCAACTTCCTTTCAATGCAACGCGTTGACAAGTTGAGAGGGATAGGACGTCTTCTCTGTCAAGTCAGGCAGCCAAAATTTCTGACAGCAACTTTTGCATCCCCAGCTAGGTTTTGTTGTAAAAGGAATTTTGCAAGACACTTCAGCTCTTCAACTCAGGTCAAAATGTCGTACGGTATAGTGGAAAGAGGATGTCCGAATTCTTTGGAATATCGAGTGTTTTTCAGTAAGATGTTTTCGCTGTCATGTAGTAATTACTCTCTGGAGTAATCTAATACATTTTCTTTGCAGAATACTTCCAATTGAGTTATGATTTATATTAAAATAATCGTTCTTAGAAAGGGTGTCTCTCTGTCGGAGGATTTTTTTTTTAAAGTTCCATGAGAACACGTGGAAAGAGGGGGGGGGGCTCTATACGTCAAGTGTTAAGAATTTGTTATTGTAGACACTTGATATCCTGACTGCAGGGAAACAGTAGACGTCTGGGATTTTCATGAATTTATTTATTTACAATTATTTTTTTTTTTAAGAGTTAGTCCCAATTACATGTTCGCACCAATTGTTTCCACCCCAAATATACCTTTTATCTAATTAAAGGTGTTAAAATATTGCACATGTGGATTTCAGCAGTTAGATTAAGATAGAAAGTTCTATCATTAAAATGATTATGTCCTATGGACCCAGTTTAACTATAGAATTTGGTCTGTGTATTCATAATGTAGCAAAGAAACACAGGCAAAAACGTGTTCTCAGTGCATTTACGATAAACAATCCAGAGAGTTTCAATTGTAAACATGGCAGGTAAATTTGAAGCAATAAAAAATGTTGAGAAAATTAGTTGAATTTTTGTCTTCATATGGATTTTTTGGGGGGGGGGATAAAAGGCTTATACAGTCTCAAAAGGTTTGTTTTGAATAATTTGGTAGTTTTTGTTTTGAATAATTTGGCATAGGGGCTTGTCTTCCGGATTGATAAATGTAAAATAATTTTTTAAAAATTTGTATCAACATTAAATACACTCTAAAAGTTGCTTTAATAAAGATTCTGACATGATCAGGCAAGAAAAAAAAATGTTTTAAAAAAAGTACTACACCTATATACATAAACTCTCAAAGGGACGCAAGCTGACATCTTGGAAAAAATACCCCCTCCCACTTCAGCACCTATTTCTGGACTCTAAACCATAAATTTATTTCGGTATCATGGCTCTGTCCCCTACAGTGATGATTTTCCTATATGTTGATGCGGTTGTCAGTCGTGAACACGCGTTTATTCAACAGTAAATGGATACAATTTCTTTGATATGGAGCTCATCTCGCTGATCGACTTGGGGATGGGGCCTTTTTACAATTTAACTTATCCATTTAAATTATAAGTATGAAGAAAGATATATGT